TTAGGTAAGGATCCTTGGTTGATTTCACAGTCGCCATTTGAGGTTTGTGCGCCCGTTGTCTAACTGTGATGCGGCTTGCTATAGGGAATCCCCTTCTGCGGGGACCTCAGGTAAGGCAAAGGTGCCCCTTTGGCCACCCATGCTGAAGGTGCGCCACCGCCCCTTGCTGGTGCCCTAGATAGGCAAGGGCACTGCTGCTGCTTCCTCTAGGGGGATGGCCTTGTGCTAGGGCGCTGCTAGAGACGGGGTCGTCGTCGAGGCCCCAGCGCGCCCAGGGGACCTAGCCCAGCCGTGGTGGTGCCCCTCCCCGTGGACCCCCTCGCCCAACCAAAGCGAGATCAGGCAAGGGTTGCTGCCCTGGAGCCTCCCACGGCGTTACAGAGTGAGGAGGCCAGCTCCTCTTCTAAAGCCATGCCAGCCCCCTTTGCACAGCCAGTTGAGAGGCCACGCGTGCTGAACGACGGTCCCGAGGTGGACGCATGGCTGGGGCAAATGGAGAAGCGGGGGGCCATTGATGAGATAGAGACCTTCTTCTATGACTCCCTCTCCAGCATGATGAGCTAGGTGGAGGAGTTCTTCGGCCTCCAACAAGGGGTGTACGACTGCTGCGAGGTATGGGTTGGTGAAATAATTTGACAAATTGCCAGTGATGCGACAGATTGTCTGAACCCTTCTCACTGCCATTGCAGGCGACTCTCTAGCTCTCCCAAAAGAAATTAGATCTTGTTCGGGAGTGAGAGAGGCTTGCTTCGCTGGCGTCCTTTGGCTCCTCCAGTGGGGGCGATAGACCCTTGCTCACCCTTCTCCCTCAACCTCCGCCGCATGCCCGAGTGGCGATGCTGACGGAGACGCTCATCAATGAGCGTGATAGGGTGCACAGCGATGCCGTGTGGCTGGGGATCGAGCTTGTGGCAGAGTGTGAGACCAGGCGCACCATGGAAGTACGGGCCGAAGCATTTCGGAGGAAGGGTGTAGAGGTGGAGGCAACTCACCGAGCGGCCAAGGAGATGGTCGTGGAACTAAGGGCTTCCCTGAGTCTGCTGGAGACCATAAGGGATGCCGCCCATTCTGAGCTCCACGATGCCCCTCTCATCACAGGTGTGTCCTTCCTCTTCCTTCTTTCTCTTACTTCCGGGGTGGAGCCTCCCGCTCTCACTCACCATGAACTCGATCCTTCCCTTTTGAACGATGCAGGGCAGCGGGCAGAGCTCACGGATGAGCGTGGCAAGGTCCTCATCCTGGAGGAGGCAAAGAAGGCACGTGCAGAGTGCGACCGCCTGTGGCGTGGGCTGCAGGCAGAGGTGGAGGTGTACGAGGCAGGGCAAACCGCTCTGGCCGAGCGCGGCCAGGAGCTTACCGCAGCGCGGGCGGAGTTGCAGGTGATCGCCATCGGTGCACAAGAGGAGTGTAGCACCTTGCTCCCTCTGCCGGCCCCTGGGGCCCTCTCGACCATGCCTAGCGAGTGTGTTCCCTTGCGGCATACATTCCCTGGGTCGTGAGGTGTGCAGTTTGTCAAGGGGCTATGACAACCCTTACCCTGGCGAAGCTCTAGCTCCCCCAAGTCGACTTGAACGCCGTGGCGCTGGGAGTCCCTGAAGACACCTCTGACAAGGCCCTGGAGAGGGTGGAGGACGCCGTTGCGCCCCTGGTTGTCGCCACCACAAACATCATGGATGATGCGCTGTTGCTGGTTGATGACTTTTCGGACGAGGTGGAAGGGCCTACCGTTCCACCAGTTTCTCCATGATCTGTGTAAGAATTCAGTCATAAAGTTTTATGTTGTAGTTTTGGGGGCTCACCCCTTGAACAATGGTGCGTCAGGGGCGCGCCCGTGTGCTGAATTTCACGCTTTGGTTGTCATTTTCTCTTCGTCCCCCATTCATCTCAGTGGGGAGCATCCCCGACACCTGTTTCCTCCCACGAGCCTGAGGGCATCGGCCATTAGCTCCTTAGCTTGGGTCATACTCATTCGGCATTAGGGCGTTGGCCTATCCCACTCGGTGGTCTCAGGAGAAAGGACAGGGTGGTTCCACTCTTCGACCACGAGGCTAAGGTGAGAAGGTCCATGGCTCGGAAGTGAGTTAATTCTGAGCGGGGCGAGCACGTCTCCCTCACGGCAACAAACTAGGAAGCGAGGAATGAACAGTGAAGGGTTCTGAGGCATGAGGACTTAGCTGTTTGCCGGGTTCACATGTCAGCCCCTTCGTCAAATCGCTCCTCCCTCACGTGGCGCTTGCGTGCAAGGAGATGTCGGGGGCGCACCGCTCGCACACGTGATGTCTACCCAGGAGGGGGGCGTCGACCACCGTGCGGGGCTTCTAGTACCGGCTCATGAAGGCTGGACGCAAGCTTGAACCATGATGGACCTGCCGAGCTCAGACCGGGAGCCCCACTCCCGGAGGACCCGGTGGAGGGGCGGCACCGTGGATCCGCCGCCCACCGACGCGACTCCCATTGGGTGGACAAAACTCATCGTAGCAGTCGGTGACGTAGGCTAGGCTCCCAAAGTTGAGGATCAGGCCCGGAGCGAAGGCACCGGTTGTGATGAAGAACTCGCCAGGGAAGTGGACACTGCCGTCTGGGGCGATGCCGCTTGCTCTAGCGACGAGGCGGGTGGCTCCGACCACCGTAGAGCCTGAATCGCACTTGACGCTGCCCCCTACCTGGCGTGCCCGCTGTCGTAGTGTCGAAACCACGGCAAGCATTGTTGTTCGAGTCGGTGTTAGAGTACGTGTCTCCGATGGCTTGGGTGGACTCAACAACACAAGAATCACAGAGGGGACGCAACGATTTATCCTAGTTTGGGGCGATCAATGCTTACGTCCAGCAGCTGATGATCCTTATACTCAAGAGCACCTAAAATCAAGAGGGGTACAACAGAGTGTAGAGAGAGACTTGGTAGGGGGTTAGCTCGGTGCTAATCCTAAGGATGCCTCGCTGTCGGTGGAGCCTTCCCCTCGTTGGAGAGGAGGAAGACGACGGGTGCGGCGGAGGAGCTCTCGGTGCCCCTCTTTGGGTTGCTCTACTCTCGGTGCTGAGCAGGAGCGGATGGAATGAGGAGTGGAATGATCTGTCTCGGATCGTTCTTCCCCTAAAGTCCGACCTTATTCTTTATATACTGAGATAGGTCGGGTACATGGCGGTTTGGGGGGAGGTGTCTACGATCTACATGCATCGGAGTCCAGGAGGGTCTTACAGCGGCGCTCTATGGACCGTGGCGGTGTCGTGGAGCTGAAGAAGCTTTGGGTGTCGTCCGGTTGCTCTATTCTAACACTCTACGTGTCAGGCTATGTCGGCTTGGACCGGCCTCCCCCAGGTGGACCTTCTGGAGTCTTCTTGGTGGCGAAGGAGGTCGGCTCCAAGGGCTGACGCATGGGCCCGGGGGCCGCCAAGCCCATGGAGGCTGAGGGAACCTTGTCTTCTTGTGTCACGCCCCGTGTGTGACCTTGTCGCGGGAGTGGCCGGCAAGGCCACGCCCTAAGGGTGGCGTCTGGGAGCCCCCGAGCCTCGATAGCTTGGGGCTTGTCTTCGCGCGTCCGGGCCTTGGTTGGCGTCGTAGGCCGGGCAGGAGCCAAGGGCCGAGCTCGGGCATGTCGTCTATCGAGGGCCTGGGGCTGGGGCGAGCCCCCGAGCCCTACCCGGGGGCTGCGACATGCTCAAGCTTGGTCAGGTTACTTAGTCGGAGGGTGCGCACGAGCATACCCGATGAGTATAGTCCCCGTGCCCCCAAGCGATCCTGGAGGGGTCGGTCGAGGGGTCTCTTCGGTCGGGAACCATTGGTCTCGAGGCTTAACATACCCATATGTTAGGATCTCGTCACCGCCCGCCTTGGTTAATTGATTAACCGAGGCAGTTGCCAACCGCCTCGGTTAAGGCCACGATTTGTTTGTCCGCCTCGGTTAAGGCTTTTTACCCGCCTCGGTTAAATTTTGTACAGTAGTGGGTGCATGTGCAGTTATTGGAATATTATGCAAATAGCAAAAAATATAGGAGAAGCTGAGGAAAAGCTTTTTGACTTGTTTGGCCAACCATTTTATGCAGGCAAAATGTATGTAGGATTATTTTTCACCAAATGATGTAGATGGCTCTAGAATGTTATTACTTTGTATAAAATGAGTAGACTAGCATAATTTCTTGACAAAATTTGTCTTTTTTGGGTATCACCTACACAAGAGATTGAAACAATGATTCAATAATTGACAGCTGTAGCGTTATATCCGGGTTTCATGAGGCATGATCAATAGATTGCTTTCAAGTGATAATGGTTATGTTCGGCTTATCTGGCACTGCAGATGAAATAACTTCTTATTGAGCCTGTTGAAATTTAAGGCTGTGGTAGAGTAGCCACGGCAGGGCGCCTGATGTTCTAGTTTTAATAAACAATAGCCTAAATTGCGAGACGCAGTTCTTTTATATCTCATAGACGATGGCAGTTTGATCTACGCCATATGTCACGTAGCACATTGGTTAGGAGATACTAGTACGATATTCAACATTATCATAGACGTGAGCAAATCCATTCCACTGACAATGTCAGGCATGTCAGCATCGGTAAAGTCACTGTTGTGGACGTGTATGGGTGCTGACATTAAACGGCTTCAACAACAATGTTAACATAGAGCTTGTCGTGCTAATAATATGTTGTGAAACATGTCACCAGTAGTTAGAATCTTTTTCTCTGTCTCTCATAATTTAAAAGTAGAATACATTAAAGCTAAGAAGACTAAATATTGACGATTACAACATGGAGTTCTCAAAGTATATAGTCCTATCAAAGCTAAGAGTTTGATAAAAATCCTTGTACGAACAAACGAGAATCTCTTCTCCTTCCCTTCTAGGTAGGAGTTTATATGTTATCAAAAATGAAAAATAACAGCACAGTAACAATGGCACACTTCACTTTCTTTTCTTCATCACAATAACAAGTTAACAACATAAATAAACACATATATGTCCAAGACAGTGAGGGAGTGTGAGTCCATCCCAGTAAGTATTCTGTATTACACAAGATTTTGCCGGAGCAGCGGCTGCACCTCACCACCAGCATCCGCGTAGTCCTGTGCCTTCCATAGGTTCTTGAAGAAGCCATAGTACTTTTGATGCCGCTGCTCTGGTTTAGGAGTTGAAACAGAATCGGACAACTCACCTGATGCCTGAACAGCCAGCTTCAACGCATTTGAAGATGAATTCTGCACATGCTGCAGGCATACTTGCACAGCATCATGCACTCGCACAAAGCACCACCCAGCACCTATCAAGTCAATGATGCCCGATCTTGACAACAAAAGGTGCACTTGCTGGTTTGGGTTAGCTATGGCAATCTGCAATCAGTAAAGAAAATACAGCTTCTGAACACATTTGTTACTAGTTTCTCGGTGCACCAATTTCAAATGTGCCTATGGGATCAACCTGAATATGGCGTGCTTCGTATTCTTGGTGCAAATCTTTAAGAGCTTGAACAGCACTCGAATCAATATATGTAACAGCTGCATGACCAAATATTTTATCATTTTAACAAGTGATACTGAAAGCCCTTGAGAAGCTCATAAGTTTCTTTCTGAAATGACCACAACCGAGGGGAACAATCTGATGCAGAAAGCAATGATTCACAAGCTTAAAAAGTGCAATTAGAAAATGAAAGTCTTACGGGACATCTCGAGGATAACAAAATACACCCTTCCAACATCGAGTCCCTTATTTGAACTTGGAAGATTGAGCTCATACTCACGCAACCTGACAAATTATGATTACCAGATGAACTTACATTACCTTGTAAATGATGAAAATGTATTCCTGTGTTTACACAAATGATGAAAACAGACCAACAAATTTACCTGTCTTTGATGTAGCTAATGTTGGCAAAGTAGATGGGTGCATCAATTCGAACCACTACTATCCCATTATACGTATAAGTTTCAGGGTACTGTAATGTATTCCTGTACACAGTAGTGCCAGGTAAACGGCCCAAGACAGCTGTACAAGCACAGATCAGCCCCAACCAAAGAGTTGATAATCTTCAACACAGTTACAGAAATAAAAAGTTGTCTTAAGTCAAACTTTTGTAAGTTTGACTAAACTTAGAAAATAACACAAATATCTATGACACAAAATTAGTATCATGAGATACACCATGAAGTATTTTCATAATATACCCATTTAGTTGTTACTAACATACAAATTAGAGAAGTCCAAGCACTCCAATAGTGGAGTTGGATAGAGAGAGAGAGCCACATGGGCAATATGGGCGAATAGTAGATGGGCCCTTATACAATTATAACAACTGAAAGAGATTGTTCAATTGATTAGAGGAGAGCCGTATTACACATATAGGCTGAGGAGACCAGAACCAGTGGTTTATAGAAACACCACCAATCAAGGATCACCTCACTCTTAACAGACTAACCATATTGATTGCCGGCTGTACACGCCTGGCTTTAAACCCATGCACACTAATCATACTGACTGGGCAGGCTGGCTGTACACGCCTGCCTCACAACCCATGCACACACATGTACACAACATACTCTAACGCCCCCCGCACGCGCATTGTCGGTGGAACGGATGTTGAGACTAGACCGGAACTCCGTAAAGACTGATGGAGGCAGCCCCTTGGTGAAGATGTCGGCGAACTGAGCCGTCGTAGGGACGTGAAGGACATGAACATCACCAAGTGCAACACGCTCCCGAACAAAGTATAGATTGATCTCCACATGTTTTAGTGCGCTGATGCTGGACGGCGTTGGAGGACATGTAGAGTGTGTTGATGTTGTCGCAGTACACCAGAGTTGTTTTGCACAGAGGATGGTGCAGCTCAGACAAGAGTTGGTGTAGCCAACTGACTTCAACAATGGCGTTGGCGACCGCTCGATACTTAGCCTCGGCACTGGAGCGAGACACTGTATTCTAGCGCTGGGACGACCACGGGACCAGATTTTCACTGAGAAACACTGCATACCCTCTGTTGAGCGACAGGTGTCAGGGCATCCCGCCCAATCAGCATCGGAGCAAATGACCAAGTCGGACTGAGAACAGGGGCATACAAACAAGCCCATAGGCATCGTGCCACGGATGTAGCGTAGAATCCACTTGAGAGCGGCAAGATGAGGCTCCCGTGGGTCATGCATATGAAGACAGACTTGCTGAACTGCATAGGAGATATCAAGCTGGTGAAAGTGAGATACTGAAGACCACCTGCGAGGCTGCGAAAGTCTGTAGGATCAGACACTGGTGCGCTGTCCGCAGGGAGCTTAGGATTCGCATCAGCTGGCATAGAGCAGGGCTTGCAGTCAGCCATGCTTGCACGGTCAAGGATCTCAATCCTGTGTGCTGGACGTGCATACCCAGAAAATGATGATGAGTGCCTAAATCCTTCATGGAGAACTCCTTCCCTTCAGCAGATGATGCCGTCAGCATAATGTCGTTGACATAAAGTAGGAGATAGGCAGTGTCTGCTCCACAGTGGTAGACAAAGAGGGACGTGTCTGACTTGGCTTCAACAAAACCGAGCTGCAGAAGGTGGGAGGGCAAACCTGCTGTACCATGCGCGGGGTGCCTGCTTCAGTCCATATAAAGAACGGCTGAGGCGACACACACAGTCAGGATGAGTGGAGTGCTCAAATCTAGAGGGCTGAGCACAATAGACTGTCTCGGACAAAGTACCGTGGGAGGAATGCATTGTTGACATCAAGATGATGGATAGGCCAGGAACGTGAGAGAGCTAGAGAGATAGGACTGAATGTCTTTGAAAAATCAATACTGGATCGCTGGGTGAAACCCCGAAGAACCTAGCGAGCCTTGTAGCGCTCAAGAGAACCATCAGCTTTGTGGTGTCTCATGGGGCGACCATGAGCCAGAGGGCGCAGCATGTGGCGGGAACCACGGCAAAACGAGCTGGGCCAAGGCCGGCGGCATCAGCTACCAGGCCTCGGACCATGACGCCAGAGGGCGTCGGGGGCGCATCTGCAGGGACACCAGCCGCATGTGGCGATGCAGAGATAGCGCCTGAACGTCCTGTATGGAGAAAAGAAGGTGACAGCACGAGGGGAGCTGGCGCTGGGTTAGAATTATCTTCCAAAAAATCAAATGCGGCTCGTGTGGGCGGAGACGGGTCCTCGGAGATGGGAAAAGAGGGACTCCTCAAAGACCACATGGAGCGAGATGATGACCCAATTGGTGTGACGATCAGGGCAAAGATAGCCTTTGTGATGAGGTGAATAGCCGAGGAAGACACACGAGGAGGAGCAAGGGGCGAGTTTGTGGGGGGCTGTGGTGGAAAGGTTAGAATAACACTTGCAACCAAAAACCCAAAGATGCTCGTACGAGGGATGCAACCCGAAGAGAGCAAAGTGAGGTGTCGAGAAATTGAGTGTTTTGGTGGGAAGGATGTTGAGAAGATGGGTGGCGACGCAGAGGGCTGCAGCCCAAAAGGTGGGGGGTATGCTGGCCTGAAACAACAGAGAGCGAATGACATTGTTAGTAGTGCGAATAATGCATTCAGCTCTACCGTTTTGGGCGGAGTGTAGGGACACGACATTCGAAGGTGAATGCCATGGGATAGGAAGAAAGTGCAGGCACTGAAGTTATCGAACTCGCGGCCGTTGTCGCACTGAACTCTTCCATGGCTTGTGCACTATTTCTTTATTATATATACTGAAATTTTTTAGGTAGTCCCAGTACCTAATTTGCAGATTGAATAAATGCAACCCTTAACCATCCTTTGAAAGGGTTGCAAATATAAGAAATCCTGAACCTAATTATGAGAGATGTATAGTCACTAACCCAAGGTGTGTTGTATTCTTGCAACATAAGGTAGACTTGACATACATATATGGAAGCAACCCCCCCTCTCTCTCTCTCTCAAAACACACACACAATGGGTGTGGGTGTTCTCCCTATCTTCCTGTCTTTGTACACTAATGATTCATGATCCTGGAAGTATGGCACTATTTAGCTGACTGGAACCAACTCTCATACCTATATGCGGATTTGCTGACTCATGGATCACAAAGGCCAATGAGAATGCAACCTAAAAAGGAAAACATCAGAGTTAAAAAGGGATGTTTCTTTCATGTCAATGATAAATCTATGATAAGCTGAAAAATAGAGGACTTTCAATTTACCCCAACAAGGACGCCAATCTCAATGCCAAAAACCAATGTTGTGATAAATGTGATTGCCCATAAAAAGAAATCCTTCTTATCAATAGACCACAAGAAGATGGCCTCTTCATAATCTACCTGAATATAGAACACTGATTTCCATGAGAATTTAAATGTAAAATTGTTTAAATCACAACACAAGGATTAAATACTATGAGAAGAGATACAAAACAAACTAAGGCATTTATAATTTTACTAAGGTAACATTTTACATAACAACCATAAAGTCACAACAAATAGTGAAATGATAAATTTATTCTTTGCAAAAGGTACGATAGTGCCAGTAGGCACCAAGACTATCTGATTCAATCACAGTATGCAATAAGTAAGATGTGAAAATGCTCTTACCAAGCCAGTAACAGCAGAAATCACAATTGCAGCCAATGCACACTGGGGAAAAAAGCTGAGATCAAATCAGCATATATGTGTACTTTGGATTACATAATTTATTTATCATAGTAAACTCTAAATGCAGAAGTTGAACATACTAAAAATTATGAACATTTACACCACAGCTGTGCAGTGAGTGCTGTTGTGGTACTATAGAAACAAAATATCTATTCATGTGGTATAAGAACCCACCTTTATGCCCCTAGAACAAAACTACAGATATGAATTGCTAGATACCTTGTTCGTTGCATTTATATCCTTAAAGATATCTTTCCACCTAACTGAAGCAAGTTTCCTTAAATTTAGATATTGTCTCTAGGGCATTTCAAGTCATCCCTACAAAGGGAGAACAATACCCTAATCCTTTAAAGTCATGTTGTCTGCCTAAGTAATGCAGTTATCTATCTTGAAATATTAGGGGGATGGCATAGGATTTTTGAAGTGTTGTGGAGGCATCACGACCAGGATGACCGAGCCAACGGTGCCAAACATCAGCAGGCTTTGCAGCGGACGGGCGGACAGGAAAGCGGAAGCCTGTTCGAAACCAGCCAGCCTGCACAGGTGAGTGTTGGAGACAAATCACAGGTTTGGGCTAGATTTTATCTTATCTTGCTTGGTCCTTAAGAAAGGATTACAACATATTCTAGAGATGCTAAAGTAAGATAAGATAAAGATAAGGGCTGACACAGCCACCAACTACTCTAGATAACTATCCTAGGTAGATAAGCACAAGAATTATGCTTTCATTCTCCCCCGAAGTCTTGTGCGGCGCTTTCTGGGGAATTTGAGCCATCCCAATTCTGGCGTGAAGCTCCTGGAACTTGACCCGCCCAAGGGACATGGTGAGAAGGTCGGCGAGCTAGTCCTGGGTGTTGATGTAGCCGGCCTTGATGCTCCCCTCATCCAAGCAGCTCCTGATGAAGTGGTACTTGATGCGGATATGCTTGCTGCGCTCATGGAAGATGGGGTTCTTCGCCAAGGCCAAGGCGGACTTGATGTCCACCCTGAGCTCCACTGCTTTTGCGTCTCTGCCCAGGAGATCGCCCAACAGCCGAGCCAACCAGAGAGCTTGAGTCAAAGCGGTTGTGGCAGCGATGTACTCCGCCTTGCAACTGGACAGAGCCACCACTTGCTGCATGACCGACTGCCAGCCGATCAGACACTTGCGGAGGAAGAACAACATCCTGCTGGTGCTTTTGCTTGTGTCGATGTCGCTGGCAAGGTCGCTGTCGCTGTACCCGATGAAGTGCCCTGTGCCAGGACACCTCGGGTAGTGCAAGCCGTAGTAGGAGGTGCCCGCAATGTAGCGGAGGATCCTCTTAACAGCCTACTCATGCTCCGTCGTTGGTCGCTGCATGAACCGACTGACATAGCCAACGGCGAACGCCATGTCTGCCCGCGATGCGACGCACCACGTGGCGTCAACCTCCTTTGCCGTGCTGTCGCGGCTCAGCCTCAGCCTCTCCTCCATGGGAGTGTGGGCTGGGTTGCAGCCGGTGAGTCCGCCCAGCTCGACGATGTGCTTGGCGTAGGCGGTCTGGCGAAGGGAGATGCAGGAGCTGTCCTGGTGGACCTCGATCCCCAGGTAGAAGGAGAGAAGGCCTAAGTCGGTCATCTAGAAGGTTGCCTTCATCTCCTCCTTGAACGCCTCCACCTCGACCTCCTTGGTCACCAAGTCGTCGACGTAGATGCCTACCAACACGGCATTGCCTCCCATGCCTCGCCAATAGACAGCAGCCTCGTGAGGACTCTGCTGGAACCCCATTTGCTTGAGGGTGGAGTCGATCTTGGCGTTGCAAGCTCGTGGATCCTACCGCAAGCCGTAGAGGGCCTTGCGCAGGCGGAGAACCTTGTTCTCCTTGCCAGGGCTGACAAATCCCAGCGGCTTGGTGGACGTAAACCTCCTCCTTTAGGTCACCGTTGAGGAAGGTGGACTTGACGTCCATGTGGTGCACACGCCAACCCTCCTGGGCCACAAGTGCGAGGAGACGGACGGACTCCATCCGCGCAACGGGCATGAAAGCGTCGTCGAAGTCGACTCCCTCCTGCTGAACGAACCCGCGCGCCACCAGACGCGCCTTGTGCTTGATCACCGCCCCGGCCTCATCCTTCTTGAGCTTATAGAGCCACTTAAGGGTGATGGCGCGGTGGCCGGCAGAAAGATCCGCCAGCTCCCACGTCCGGTTTCGCTCGACCGCGTTCATCTCCTACTACATCGCGGCATGTCATGCTGCGTCTCCCTCCGCCTCAGCAAAGGAGTAGGGCTGGCCGTCTTCGTGCGCCAGGTGCAGCTCCCCCTCGAGGTCGTGCGTTGCCAGTCCAGGGACAGGTTGATCGTCGAAGATGTTGTCCATGGTATGGTAGCGCAGAGGCTCGTCATCGTGGTAGGCATCGACGCGGTCCTCGTCGTTGGATAGCGGAGTGGCGAACTCCACCATGCACTACCCGTCACGGAGCAAAGCTGCTGGTGCTGATCTCGGTGGTGTGGGCGCCAGTGCAGGAGAGCGGGGCGTAGCCGGTGGTGCAGCTAGTGGAGGACTCGCTGGTGTAGGCGGTGGAGGACTTGCCGGAGCTGATGGCGAGCCGGGTGCTGAGGTGGACGAGCTCGGTGAAGGAGCTGCTAGCTCCCCCCGCTCCCTCGAAGTGGACGTAGTCGGCGACGAAGTCTTTGAGAGTCGAAGTTGATCCGTCGTCCACCGCCTTGTCCCAGGTCGAGCCTCGCCCTTCGTCGAACACGACGTCACGGGAGATGCGGACGCGCTGTGTCACAGGGTCGACGATGCAATAGGCCTTGACACCCTCCGCGTAGCCGATGAAAACCCCTGGCGTGCTCCGCTCGTCGAGCTTGCCGACGTAGTTGACCTCCTTGGCGAAGGCGAGACAACCGAAGACGCGGAGGTGGCTCACCACTGGCTTGCGCCCGTGCCAGGCCTCGTATGGTGTCTTGCCGTCGAGGGCCTTGGTGGGCGAGCGGTTGAGCAGGTGGACGTCGGTCATAACCGCCTCACCCTTATAGATTGCAGGCATCCCTCTCTGCTTGAGGAGGGCACGGGCAGTGGCCACCATCATCTGATTGCGGCGCTCAACGACGTCGTTCTGTTGCGGGGTGTACGGCATGGAGAAGTGGTGCTGGATCCCGTCGTCGGCGCAGTACGCCGCGAACTCAGCCGCCGTTGTCGGTGCATAGCACCCGAAACTTGCGGCCGCACTCCTCCGCAGCACCTTGATGGCATCCACAGCTGCCGCCTTGGTGTCGAGCAGGACGACCCACATGTAGCGGGACACGTCGTTGACGAGGAGCAGGAAGAAGCGCCGGCCTCTAGGTGTGGCCGGTGTCACGGGGCTGCAGAGGTCGTTGTGCACGAGCTCTAGCTTCTCCTAGGGCGCGGAAGCTCGCCTGGCGGGGGAAGGGAAGCCGCCGCTGCTTGGTGAGGACACAGGTGTCGCAGAACTACTCCACGTGCTCGACTCACGGCATGCCCTGCACCATCTCCTTGTTGCCGAGCTGCTTCAGGGCCTCGAAGTTGAGGTGCTTGGGGAGAGGAAGACGTGGGCTCGCGGCTGATCGAGGTGTTGAGGCGGAGAGCGAAGTCATCGACGTCCTCACCTGGCTTGAAAGCCAGGTCCTCCCACTCCTGACGCAGCTTCTGTAGCGTGGATCTGCGTGCGCGGTTGCTGCCGATACGTGCCGCGGCGATGGTGTCCCAATCGTCCTTGATGGTCTCCTTGTTCGCGAGGGAGGAGTGCCACATGTGAGGGCTCCGCGCGCCAGCGTCCCGTCCGCCCTGCTCGCCGTCGTCCAGGTCGCGTCTGCCGTGTTCGCCCTGGTCCAGCTCGAAGTTGGGCAGGGCCCGCTCGTGCGCCGCGCGCTCCCGGTCCCGCTGGGCCTCCAGGTCGCGCTCGATCCGATGATCCCGCACGCGGTGGTCAAGTCTTCCCACATTGCGTCCGTCTGCGTCCGTACACACGGCCCGCGCTCCCGCATCCGCATCCGCCACCGCCTCCGCGTAGCGAGCCGTCGGACCGCGTCCGTCGAAGCCGCCCGCTCGTTCCGCGCCCCGCGCGCCTGCATCCGCCTCCGAGCGAAGTGCAGCTGTGGCGGCCGTCGCAGCCTGAGCCGTGGCCTAGCGGGCCGTCTCCGCCGCGCGCTCATCTACCAGCTTTGCTGCCGCGAGGCGCTCCACCCTAACAGCTGCAACCTACAACGCCACTGCCTCCCTCTCCCTCTACTCTGCCTCCTCCAGACGCGCTGCTCGGGCGTCCGCCGCCTGAGCGTCCTCCGCGTCCCGCGCCGCACGCGCTGCTGCATGCTCGCGCTCGCGCTCCGACACGCTGCTGTCGCCGACGTCGCCCTGCAGAGGTGGAGCTCCAAACGGAGTAGGAAGAGTCGGAGCAGGAGTGGCTGGCCATGGCACTAGATTGGGATGGGACACACGAAAGATAACTAGGCTTTGATACCATTTGTTGGAGACAAATCAGAGGTTTGATAGATTTTCCATTCATCAGCCTTACCACAACTATGGCAGGTTGAGGATACGTATAAGGTAGTTTGCTTGGTCCTTAAGAAAGGATTACAACATATTCTAGTGATGCTAAAGCAGATGCTAAAGCAAGATAAGATAAAGATAAGGGCTGACACAGCCACCAACTACTCTAGATAAGTATACTAGGTAGATAAGTACAAGACTTATGCTTTCAGTGAGTAGCACCTGAATCACCCACTGTTGTGGACGCTTTCATTGGGAAGCAGTACAGCAGGAAGACGAAGAAGGCGCCAGCCTCTAGTGCCTAATTTTAAGCCATAGTTATCTGTTTAGGTATCTGTTCCTATAAGTTTGGATCTGGAGAGTGAAAATAGGAGATGGGTAGCAGTTTGTTAGTGTTCAGCCGGCCATTAGGGGATATAACTAAGGGCCCGCTGATTAGGGGAGTTAAGCAGAAATAGTCATCTTGTTCAGAGCCTCCCAGGAGGGCGAACTAGCTCTATCGCTGCTGCCATT